TAACTCCATAAAATATGTTTTATTTGTAGTCTCTTCAATCCTGTACGAGAAACAAGTTTATATGGCACGATCTAAGGAAGTAAATATATGACACGATTTAAGTAATATATGTTGAGAGATCCAAAATGGTGATGAGCACAAATCTGTTTCAATGAACAACAACTAATCAAACTTATAACTCAATTTGATCACTAAAGACACAAGATCTCTAATTAAATCAAAATATGAAAGATCATCTTAATAACACAAAGTAACTTCTTCCGATTCTAGTAAAACTAATCAAAACACATCCCAACAAAACTCATTGTTTAAAAGATGAGAAAACTGAACCTTCCAAATCCATAGCTTCGTTTCTAACACGAAACTCGAAATTTTCAGTAATTTTCGAGCTTAAAGTCAGTCTATTTCTCAACCATCTCTCTGATATTACAATCATCATCATCATCTCCAAAAGAAGACGCAAAGCCAATCAAGGAAATTGATCCATTCCGGATAAAGTTCACGTCTTTACCTTAGATTTCATTGATATAGTTTTCATTGATCCATGACTTGCTGGTTTCTTCACATGCGAGATTCTTCTATGCCATTGTTGGTTTCTTTTACTTGAAAGTGAAAATTGTTTATTAACCAACCCTCTCTCTGGAATCCCCAATTCATTGAGCTCTTATTCGGTTTCATTCAATTCTCTGCCAAGATTCAACCAAACTATCATCTAAATTAACTATCTAATCCACCCAGAACCTGCTCACATAACCATTAACCCAATCTCCTCATGACCTTCCCATAACTCCACAAAGGCCTCTGCTTGTCTCTTCTAAGCCGCGAATTTTTCTTCATCAGACATCTCATCATCTTTCGCAAGCTCAAATGTCTCATCAACAATGTCGATGTCCCTAAAACCAAGCTCCCTTCTTATTACCCGTATGACTGTTCTTCTTCTCCGCAATCCAACACTTCTTTCTTCTCTTACCCAACAACGAAATCGAGTGACATGGCTTGGGATGAAGAGATGATGACGATGATTCATGAACTGGATTTTGGCTAGTGAACGATAAGCAGTGGCATAAGACCATTGACAAGCTCATCAAGGACATTAATCATTGTTTGCACTGTAATTTAAGACAACAAACATATTCTTCAACGAAACCTAGTCAAACGGATCCAAAAACGATAAATTCAACAGCTTTAACAAGCCCTTAACACGAAATTCGCCCAGAAAGTTACCAAGAGAACAGAAGAACAACCCGATTTACATGGGTTTTTTGGGTTTTTCTTTACTCAGAACCCGATTTAACGA